CTTGTCTGAATAATTCCACTCTCTCCAGAGCAGACGGCAACAACAGAGTGGAGAGAAATCTGGCTTCTGTTGGAGGGAAGACAGATGAACTTGTTTGGGAGGCAAAAGGCCAGACTGTGGATTGGGTCGCTGGCATCTGCTAGTATTTCCACTCCCTGGGAACCCAGGTTCTTTGTTTTTCAGCAGGGTGGAAAGAATCGACCACCTATGCATGCTTTACTGAGGATTCACAAGTGTGAATGCCCCAGCTTTCCTGGCTGTGTTAGGCATCACTCAAGAATATTTATCCACATCCGGGTCCCTGCATGGATTGGATGTGAGAACTCAGTGAGCCTGCCTTTTCTCGTTAGGACTGGAGGGATTGTAGCATCTACCCTCTAGGATGGGGGAGGAGCAATCAGACATACAGCACGCTATGCACATGGGGCAATGAGTGCCCGTCTTACTGCTAAGTGGCTTTGTGAGGTTTAAACATCAGCCTCAAATCACCTTGTCATGGAAACCATGGCGAGTGCCCTCTTCTCCTATCTGAGCATCCAGAAAGGCGATTCTGTGGCCTTCCTGCCACAGCAGCCGCTTGGCCTTGAGTGTCAGTGTGTCTACCACTGTATGGGAGTGGCGGTGGGGACCTGGGTGGAGGGAAGAGATGGCAGGATGCCAGATGTCTCCCAATGGCAGTTTTCTTTGGCTCTCTGAAGACTTTACCCGGGTTCATCTGGGTAGCATTTCCTGCCCTGTACTTCTGGTTCTGTTACAGAGCAGGTTATTTGGGTTCCTCAGAGGAGCCCATGCCACTCAGGTGGCTTCCCTAGATCCTGAAGATTACAGTGGTGTATTTCATGGAGATCCTCTTCCCAGTCTTGTCCAAATAAACAATCTAAGCTATCTTTACGTAGCCCAGGCTGACCTTGAACTCCCTATGTAGCCCAAGCTGACCTTGAACTCTCACCGCAGCCAAGGATGACCTTGAACTGATCCTCCTGCTTCTACCTCCTGAGTGCTGAGGTTACAAGCAAGTGCCACCATTCCTGGTTTTAGGTTTTGTGTAATTTCTTGAGATGGGGCAGGAGCCCCAGCCTTCTTGCATGTTAGGACCACACTCCACCGACTGAGCTACACCCACACCCTCAACCAAAGCTTATATTGAACTAAGTGTATCTTCAGTCCTATTGTGCCTAGCTAGGGCACAGCCACCGCACAATCAGCTGGAGATGCAGAACTCCAAAGCAGCTCTTCCTCAAATGAAAGGTACTGTTTCAAACTGCATGACACCAAGAGGCGGGCTCTTCACAGCAGACCCCAACTTCACAGCGTTCTGTCACTAGAGTCGTTTGGAGGACTGAAGGCTTTCTAATGGCCAAAGGGGAGTTATAACGTGCAAGCTTGTATTTTAGATTGAGAATTTTATTAAAGTATATTACTATTTTAAGCCACCATACAAATATCCTTTGTATTGATCTCAGTGTGATGAACTAACTGAATAAATATGCCAATTTCTTTCAGTGAGCCAAACAGTATTTTTAACCTACTTTAAAATATGTGTTGTTTCCCAGGGTTTTTCAAACTCTGGAGTTGATTATGAAAGCGATTTCAATTTTTAAAAATTCTTCTTTCCAGAGAACATACATATATATTTTAGACTACCAAATGGAAAGCTTAATGGGACGGGCCATTATTTTTTAAAGTTGCAAAGTAAGGTGAAAAGGAAAACGAATTATTGTGATGGTTAATAACGACTGTCAATCTGATCTGATATAAAACACCCTGGGCATCAACTTATGGGCATATCTTTGAGGACTTTTCCAAAGAGATTTAAGTGAGGGCTGAAGACCATCCCTGAATGTAGACAGTACCATCACAGAGGTTGGAGTGACCACCAAGTGAAAAGGAGAAAGCAAGTGGAACCAACATTCATCTCTCTCTGCTTCCTGGCTGAGGATGCAATGTGACCTGCCACCTCACACTCCTGCCGCCAGGCCTTCTCATCATTATGGATTATGCCCTCAAAACGTGAGCCAGAGAAAATCCTTCCATCCTTAATTGCTTTTGTTGGGTATTTTGCCACAGAAGCTAGAAAAGTAGTTAATGCAAGAAATTGGTACCAGGAGCAGGGTTACTGTTGCGATAAACATAATCATATGGGTTTGCGTGCTTTTGGGACTAGTTTGCTGGAGGAATGCAAAAAATTTGGAGCTCCAGGCTAGAGAAGCCCTAGAATGACATAAGAAGAGAGTAAGGGGCCACTGTGTGTCAGGGCCACCGTGAAAGCACAGCAGGAACAGCAGAACAGCCTGTTCTGCAGATGAGAAAGGAGTGTGGCGAGTTTAAAGCTTAAGACAAAGCAGATGTGGAGAAAGCAGCTAGAGCTGCTGGAGAAATCAGTGCCCCTCAAGAGAAACTGATACCCTAGGATAGTAGGAAAGACACCCTGAGGGCGAGGTCTCACTCACAGAGCACTTCAACTTGTGAAAATGCAAATTCACTTGAAAAAGAGAAAGCCTACATTTAGAGTGCTAATCACCAGAACCAGAGGGCCACATAGGAAAGCATTTGTCCAGGGTCTGCCTCCAAGGCACACAAAGGTTGCCATAACCGTTGTCTGGGGGCTTAGGCTGCATCTTCCTCTGACAGCACAACCATGAGGCACTGGCTCTGCAGGCATGGAGGAGTCACAGACGCTAACACCAGGGTTCTAGAAGCTACTGAAGCCAGGCAGTGTGGATCTGGGTCAGGTCAGACTTGCTGTAAGTAGGCACTGAGAGGCCATGGCACAATGCTGAAAAAGTGAAGCCTAAGTTGCAATGGAGACCCCAGGGTATTGGAGATGCTAGTACTGACGAATGCGGTCCAAGAAGAACTGCAGAACGAAGCAGAGCTGGCCCAGGAGAGAGTCTGTGTGTACGGAAGGCACCAGAACCAGAACTGCAGCCACCCAAGGGAGTTGCAGCCCAGACAGTGCCACCAAGAACCCCACATCCCAGACATGGAACTACAGGGTTTGGTGTCCATCCTGCTGTGATCCAGTCATACCTTGCCTGAGCCTGAGTCTTTGCTTGTTTATTTCCATTCTTCCTTTGTCGGAAGGAGAATGATTTCTTCCTGATATTGCATAAGAGAAGTGTACGACTTGTAGGCTTGATTTTTATAGGGAGTCATGTATAAGAGATTTCCCAAATCTCACAAGAGAATGTATTTAAACTTCTGAAATTTTAGAACTGTTGAGATACTGGAGACTTTTAGAGATGAACTAAATATATTTTACATTACAAAATGAACAGGAGACAGGGATCAGGGATGCAATGCTATGATTTAAAAGCGATATGCTTGGGTGTCAAGCTGATGAAATGAAGGCTTGTGATAGTTAATCTTGATTATCAACTTGGCAGGACTTAGAGTCACCTAGGAGACACTCTTCTAGCCTTGTGTGATGGAGTGTTTAGTTCAGGTGGGAAGACCCACCCCAGATGCGGTGGCTGAGTTTCAAATGAGTACAGAGCAGACAGTGGGTGGAGCATCTCTGTTTTGTGACGGAGGATTCTATGTGACTAGCCACTTTACGCTGGTGCTGCCGTGACTCCCCTCATGATGGACCGGACCCTCAAACTGGACCAAAACAAACCTTCCTCTTTAAAAGGCTTTCTTCTGGAATGTTTGGACAGGAGGAAAAAGAATAACTATATACAATGTAGCACTACACGAAGACTGCTACAACAAGGTGACGCTTGAGTAACAATTCTTCAAATCTGTAACAAATGTATCCTTCTACGTCTTTTACCCTATCATTGCAAATCCATTTCCTTAACTTTCTTTTTTTAAGCATATAACATTGCGTACTTAATCAGGATCCTTCCAGGAAACTGGGGATTTTCAGAAATTAAGGGAATGACTGGGGAGATAGCTCATTTGGCAAGAGTGCTCAGTGTGTAGGCCCAGAAATCTGAGTTCGGGTGCCCAGCACACATGTGAAAGCCAGATGCAGTGGCACAGGAATCTGGAATCCCGGAAGTAGAGACAGGAGACTCGCCACAAGTGCATAGGCCAGCTGTCCTGACGCGTGGGAACGAACAAGCAGAACTGCCTCAAACAAGGCAGGGAACAGACATAGTTTTTAGAAAATTCAGAGTTTGTTCTCTGACCTCTGAACGCACGCGCATACACATACACAAGAGAGAGAGAGACAGAGAGACAGAGAGACAGAGAGAGAGAGAGAGAGAGAGAGAGAGAGAGAGAGAGAGAACACAAAACTGAAAGCCAAAGCACAAAGCGATCAGGCGGCTCAGCATATTCTCCCAGCATTTCACAGATGGGGACCTAACAGGGAAGAGGCCAAGGACTTGCCCAAGGCCCCGCTGTTCCAATCAGTTCACCCTGGGCTTCCTCTCTCTCCATCTTGCCTAGTGGAAAAACTCCCCCAAATAAAAGTCCTTCAGGCCCCACAGCTATTTGGAATACCAATTAGATGATATTTAAAAACTGTTTTTTCCCAAGAAAAGCATGAAAGAAGTACTGATCACTATAGCTGCTGCCTGTGAATCATGGGATTTCCTGGTTTTACAGAGAAATGTCAGTTTACCGTTTTGGAAGAAGAAACCGTGCCAGATATTGTGTTTACTTTGTGGGAGTGAGAGCCTCAGAAAATTCAGGCACAGGGCAGGGAACAGGGCTGGACATGAACCAGGCACACCAGCATCAGGGACAGAGCTAAAAGCAAGTAAAAAATGACAGAATCCAGTACTTCCGGAGACCCTGGCCAGCTGGTGTGACTACTGCCCTCAGCAGATCCCAGGCAGCTGGTTCCTTTTAATGGCAGGAATCCACACCTCACACCACAATTCAGGGATGGCCAGCTCTCAGGAAGTCCTCCCCAAGCTTGAACTGAAACCTGGTGGGGACCAGAAGACAGACAGGAGGATTTCCCTTTCAAATGTGCATTTCTGTTTGACAGGAATGTCTTGGGAGCTGCCTGTGGCCTCTGCCCCTGCTCAGCCGGGGAGGTTTACCTGAAGTTGTAGCCAGGGGAAACGCTGCTTTTCTCCGACACTCCGTCCAGCCGAGTGAAGGAATATTTGGGAATACACTGGTCCCAGGCCTTGTCCAGGTCACACACCCAGCCGATCTTAATGCCCAGAACGCCACCCTGAGGAAAGGGCCAGGTCTGAGCTCTCCTCTCCGCTGTCAGTCAGGGTTGAGGGTTTGTGGAGAGTGATTTCTTTCTCTTCTCTACATGGGAGGTGGCAGTAGGGAGGGGGTGACCTTAGGGGAGGAACCGGGAGTCTCAGAGTCCCTGAGAGACTACACAGGGGAGAAAGCATGGTTGCAGATGGCTTTCCTGTGGCATGACGCTTAAGAGACCGAAGGCCTCTTCTGGGGAGAAATGGGAAACCGAAGCTTGGGGAAGTAGAGGCAAGAGCTCTCGGGGAGAGATGGATGGGATTTGGGATAGGAATGGATTTGGGGATCTGCATGTCTGGGGTGCTTGCACCAGGAGGCATTTCTGCCCAGCATCCCTGGGGCAATCCCTGAAGCCTATGGGAGCACTGAGCTTTCCGGGTAGGGAGCGGGGCATGGACAAGAGACAGGTTCTCACCGTGCGGGCCAGCTTGGCAAAGTCTTGCCCAGCAAACTTAACCACATCCCCTACCCTCAAGATGGGGCAGAATGGGGCCTTTTCCGGGTGGAAGCGGCATGTCTTTATGTCCTTGTCTGTCAAGTTGGGCAGGAGGTTTCCCCTGGGGAGGAAAGAGGAAAGAGGTGAGGCCCAGAATGGAAGCAGAGATAGCTATGCCTAAGTTTTCCCCAGGCTTCTGGATGCTTCTGGCCCTCGACACCGACGTGGGGACATCTATTTCCACCATCGCTCAGCCCCCTTCCCGTCTACCTCCCTTCTTTCCCCGCATGGTTTTGTAGCCCCCGTGTCCCATCTCATGGCAGGGCTAGGAATGTCTGTGGCCAGGGTCTCCAACTACCAGGCTGGGCTCCTGGCGACCAGAGTCTCTCCTGATTGCTCTGTGCATCTCTGTGGTGCCTGGCAGGGTCCTTTCCACATGGCTCCCTGCCACTAGGTAGTTGCTGAATGTATGAGCCAAGGTTGTGAGGACAAACTAAGGCAAAGCAAGGAAACAACGAAACAAAACAAAACAAAACAAAACAACAGTCTCCATTTGAGGGCTGTAGGTGGCAAGAAACAAAAGTGACAGACACTTCAGATCCCAACTGCAGGAGACCTCGGTATCCACAGCCAGGCCATGCTGCCTTTTCTCAGCTGCAAGAGACTCCTACGTGGGTTCAGAGCTCCAAGGCAGGGACACAGGCAGAGAAATCAGCTACGTGACATTTGGGATAGGAGCCCCAGGGAGATGAGTAGGTGGAGGGAAAGTGGGGGGCTTCTGTGGCAGGCCGAATGAAGGGAGAATCGGGGACTCACTTCTCGAAGTTGAAGAGAGGGAAACGGATGCTGTTCTTGATGAAAATGGTGAAGTTCTCGGCTTCCATCATGATAGGCCTGTGGATGAGAACGGGCTATTCAGCTCTCAGGAGAAGGGACACCCGGGGGGGGCTTTTCTTGGGAATATTCCTTTGTGGGGGCCTCTGGAAAGGAAACATAGACTAAGGGCCTATGGGAGCAAGGGTGAGAGGCAGAGGCAGGGCAGGGGAGATGACACCCTAAGATAACATTCCCACTCCAAGAAAGAACATTAACTGGGGACACGCAAAGCCCTCCATATGCTTGGGGATGCTCAGAGCCTTACATCTCCACGGTGTCCACTTCGGTGGGGCACCAGCCCTGGATCTCACAGGTTCGGAGAACAGAGCTGTAGTTCACACAGCGGCCAGTGAGGATCCCTGGAGGGTGGAACTGCATGTCGAGGTGGCTTCCTGCCCCTTGCCACTCCCACCCCTGTCCTCACCAGGGCCCCAGGAGGTGAGCAATCTCTGCTGCACATCAACAATCTGATGCGTGTCCCGAACACCCCAGGACTCTTCTTCCTTGCCTTAGTCTGAGCATCCCTTTTTCCTAGAATACCCTTCACTAAGCTCCCACCATCTTGCTGAATCTTCCCCCAACTTCAGGTCACCTCTAGGAGGGCTTTGGAGTTACCTCTCAGAGCCATTCTTGTTCCCTTCCCTGGGCTCTCTGTATTTTTTTTTTTAATACTACTTGCTACTCTATGCTACCACTGCAAAACCTAGACTAACTCTTGGGGCAGGAACCATGCACCTCCACAGCCCTGACTGCTTCTGGCACCCAGCAAACTTCTTGTAACACTGGCAGAATTCCACAGAATAGGCTTGCCCCCTTTCCTGACATGGGCTTATCCCCATGGAGAGTTCACTGCACTTTAGAGTCCCGTGAAGGCTTGGAGTTGGGGGTGGGGTGGGATGGAGGAAAGGGCTGCACTCACCCCCACCCGGGAAGCGCTCAGGCCCACACTGGCTGTCAGACACACAGCGGTACTTCTCCTCATTCTGTGGGGGGGACACGGTCACAGGTGTATGAAGGATCCTCCCTTGGCCCTGGTCAGCCCATTCGTTCCCATTGCCTCCCCCAAGTTCCCACAGCTGTGACTTCTGGTGGGTGGCAGGTCCAGTCGCAGCTCCAAGGCTAGACCAGGGGCCTCAGTTCACACCCCTTGCCCTGCTTCTGCTGGTACGCTTCCGTGACCTCTTCTACTCACCTCTGGACAGAATCCTTGCATTTGATTTTCAGTGACGATCATCTTGGTGATGATGACAAAGACAGAGGTGCCCTTGGGAGGAGAAGGGAGAGGAAAAAAGCCCCATCCCAATCTGCAGGGCAGGAAGTGATTTCTTTCAGCTCTACAGAAGAGGAAGCCCCAGTCTGCCTGTGACTTGGCCAAGGTAGCAGAGCTAACAAGGGGCACAGCTGGCACTCAAACAAAGTTTCCCTAACCACCTGGTGTCCCCTCTTGCTCTCCTTCTGATCGCTCTCCATGAAAGCACAGCTGTCACAGGGCCGGGGGGGGGGGGTGGGGGGAGTCCAGCTTCTTTATGTCCAATTCCCCCCAACAGTACTGTAGCTTCTGGCTCAGGAGGTCTGCCCCTCTGTCCCCACTCTCCCCAGATGTGGGCATGCACATGTCCCTAGGGTAGAGCACCATACCTGGGGTGGGGTCACATAATCTGACACGTCCATGACTCTGTTGGCATAGCGTCCGAAGCCTTTCACCTTTGTCACTACCGAGGACTCAATGGCAGTGTCCCGCACTTGGTAGGCCTTCTCGTGCAAGAAAACCCACCTGCAGCAGAGAATGTGAATAGGGAAAGAGCCCACGGGCTCACGAGATGGGTTGGGAAATCCTCCCTCCTGACAACGTTAGAGTCGTACGGGTGTGCTTGACAGGGTCAAGCGTTGGGATGAGAAACAGGGATGAGTTCTTGGTTAGTTAGTGAGTCTTCATAACCATCTCCAGGGAGCACTTCTGGGCTTCTTTTTCTAATTGTTCTCCTATGTAAACTCTTATTATCCCACATGTACCATACGGAGTATAGTGTGTACATATTTAAAGGTCAGAAATTGATACTGTTTTTCTTTGTTGTTGTTGTTGTTGTTGTTGTTTTCCTTTTTGAAACAGGGCCTCACTCTAGTCTGGCCCTGCCTGGACTAGATTCATTTTGTAGACCAAGCTGGCCTTGAACTCACAGAGATGCATCTGTCTCCACCTCCCAAGAGATAGGACTAAAAGCGTGTGCCACCATGCCTGGCGTCAGAAGTTGATACTGAGACAGGCATTCGGGTATCACCTCTATTGCTGTTCACCTTATCTTCTTGGAAACAAGGCCTCGCTGAACCCGGTACTCGGTGACTGGCTAGGCTGGCTAGCCGTGAGCCCTCTATCTACCTTCTACTGGATTACCAGTATGCACCGCCATGCCTGGCACTGCTCTTTTTAAAGACCGCACCAGGGGCTCTAGAATGCTAGGAAAGTGCTCTATCAATGATGAGCTACAGTCCCAGCCTATTTGTGATTTACACATAGAAAACGTCGAGCTATGTTTGACTCCTTAGGAGGAAGTTCCACCCCCTTGTGGGCCACATGTGTGGCCAAAAGTAAGTAAGTACTGCTGATAACAAGGTCTCCCCTCTAGCAGGCACCAAGGAGAGCGGAGACAGAGGTTCCGGCCTGCAAACCCTGAGCAGCCCAAGCTTTATTCGTGGTTGTGCCCTGTGTACCAGGCACACAGCAGACAGTCAAGAAAGAAACTGATGAATGTCCTGAATGGCCTTGGAGCGGGCTTCTTGGCAGTCTTCACCCGGCCAACACTGGCTGGGGAATTAGGAGGAGGTGGGGGTGTGGGCAGTGGTTGTGCCTGTGCCGGGGCAGCGAACACCATTGGGGAAATGGGGACACCAATCTTATTCCTTGCGTTGTGCCTCCACCTAGTGGCCATTACCTGTCTTCCCATAGTTTAAAGCCGTCATGTGACCTTCCTTCCATCTCACCTGCTTCTACAGACCCTCCCAGACACCCTGGGGTAAGGGAGAGACTCCGACTGATGACTCCGCCCACCTGTGAAGGCCGCCACAGCCCTCAGGGTGCAAGGCAATCAGTCCCTACACCTGTCCCAGATTGATGTGTGGGCCTGGTGGCACACTGGAAGGTCAATGCAGTTACTGTCTTTAGTCTGTAGGTGAGAAAAACCTATAGGTTTGGGAAAATTTACACACTCTATACAACAAACCAGTGACAATGCTAAATTTTGGTAACCTTATAATCATCATAGCCATTATTATTATTACCACTGTTATCCTATTGTGTTGCGGTGCTAAGGACGGAACCTAGGGCCTTGCAAGCACTCTATCACTGAGATACACTCCTCAGCCTGCTGGCCTTACTTGACCATAGAAGCTATTTGGGAGAGAGAACTCAGGACAGATGGCTGAATCAGACAGAACACTTCGGGAAGGCCGGGTTAACATCATTATCTGCCTCTATCAAACATTGGGAAGGCACATCAGGAGATGACAGAAGGAGTCTGGGACAGTTTAGCTCAGAAAATGCTGTGGGTACACCTGGCAGGACAGCTGCAGGGACAGTACTGTGGGCACCCCTGGGAGGGCAGCTGCAGGGGCAGTGCTGTGTAGGCTCCCCTAGGGCAGCTG